TGTAATGTATGTATGTATGCATGTATATATATATATATATATGTACCTACATACATATGTACACATGTTCTTTATACATATAGACACATACAAACACACACTCATATATATATATATATGTATTTTTATGTATTTACTTATTTATCGTATAGAAGGAGAGATAGGTAGATATACATATGCATATATAGATGCGTACATACATACATACATACATACATACATACATACATACATACATACAGTTTCGCTGACGGCGCGCACCTCGTGCAGGTCTGGACCTTCGAGCAGATTGCCGAGTCCTTTCTGATCTATGGGGCAAAGAAGTTTTACCAGCCAGGCACAGGGCCGGATCCCCTCAGCCAGCGCTTTGATGCAAAACTTGCAGCTTTGTCGTTAGAGTGCTCTAGGCTTAGTGCATTGCCAAGGGATGACATGCTTTCAGGTTTGGTCGCATGTGCGATTTTCAGCGTCGGGGCTTCATGTGGGAGTTCTGCGGCAGGTTCGTCCAGGATCGACCCTACTTGTAAGTGTCGGTGGCATGTTTTCTGGTCAATCGGTGCTTGGGTTACGGGTTTCAGGCGGTTTAGGGCAAGCACCCACCTACACACATGGGATTTGAGCCGCTGTGAGCTGCCTTTGGCACTGGCTGCTTGCCGGTAGCATATGTGAATTGATTTGACGCGCCATAACTCAAAGAATACAAGATCATGAAGATGTCCTACATGTACTCAGGTGTCTTGGTGCTTTGATCACTGCCGCTGGCGAGTGCGTGCCGAAATTGGGAATCGGCTGCGACGCCCGCGCGACAGGGGCCTCAGGAGTTTTTCAACTGGACTTCTTGCGATCTGGAGGCACTGGACACTTAGCTCGTCTTCGTGATCGGGTGAAAACACGTTAAACATGACAGAGCGAGAGGGAGAGAGTGTGTGTGAGAGAGGGAGAGAAAGAGAGAGAGAGAGAGGCGGGCGCAACTTTCTGTGCGGCAGAATTGAGTGTTTTCCCATTTCAATGCACTCATGGTTGCACATCTGCTTCTTCCACTGCTGTACTCATACATTCATTTATGAGAGAGTACATGCTGGCCGTTTAGAGTTTACGGCTTCTACTTGGTGCTACTTCTGCGTTTCGGCCCAGGTAGTTGCTTACCTGCCACTATATCCGTGGACGCAGGTGTAGCGATTCATGAATCGAAGAAGGCACGTGCAACAATGAGGCATGAACTTTAAGGCTAAGCCAAAATCCTGAGCCCACAATCTTCAAAATGCACATCAGGAACGGGAGCGATTGTCAACGCGCAGATCAAGAAGGCCGCTGCTGCGCCGGAGCAGTGCAAAGGTTCCTAACTTTGTGGGTATCAAGTTTCGTGCTGCTGGCCCTGAAGGGCCTTTTGTAGCGGCACACCCAACATCACCAAGAAACCTAACGAACGCTATCCCCACCATCCCCCATGAAGGGGGAAGTCTATTGAGGTGAGGGCTTCAGAAGTCGGTAGAAGTTCAGAAACGGGGCTGAAGGAGGCTGCTGGAATCCGGGCTTTCGGGGCTTTCATTGTTCGGGCTCAATGTCGTAACCTGATCCAGAAACCCTTGAACTCTGTTTCACCGACACGAATAGGATAGATACGAAGAGTCCCGACAAGAACCGGCTTTTGGGAAGCCAGCTTCCAGTACCCTGAAGCCTGGCCAAAACAGCCCTAGCGATCGCCCCTTGGAGTGAAGCGCCTAGTGCACTTAAGAAAAGCAACACCCCAAACCCTAAACCCTAGACCCTAAACCCTAAACCTAAACCCATTGTGTTCCTATTTCTCCAGGACAGCGGACTTATGAACTTGTGCATCAGTGGCTTCGGGGCCGGTTTCATTACCGCGACGCCGTGGGTCGACCGGGCCAATGACAAAGTCGCCACGCTGAAGCTTGGCAACATTGGCCTCCCGAAAAACGCCCGGAGTCACCATCAGTTCTTGGCTCTCGGAAAGAGTTGTATAGTATCTTCGCATCATAGCAACATAGTATTGTAGTAATTATTTTAGCGTTGTAATATTGTGGTGTTCTAAGCGTTATTTCTCGCAGGAGTCGCTTGCAAATCCAGTTTTTGGTCGAGTGGCTTCGCTGGTCAAGCACACAGTAGCCATCGGCAGCGGGCCTTGAAAAGCCTTTGGGCTTGTTTGCTACATGTATCTACTATCATTGTTGTTATTACTAAGTTCTTACTATATATTTCTGTTGTTATTCCTACTATTACTAGTTGTAATGACTATATTTCTATTGTTATGGCTACTATGATTGCTACTGTCCTAGAGCCCCGAACTGGCCGAGGCAGGGAGATTCCTTCCTCACCTGCATGGGCGCGCCGGCGTTCGTGAACAACTACTCCTGCCCGGATCCAAAGGCCCATTCTGGCGGGCTTTACCCGAACTTCCTGGGTCCCTTCTGCAGCTTGGTGAGGTGTTCGCTAGGTTTCAAAATTTAGGTTAGATACTGCCCCCCACTTTGCATAATCAGTTGAACAGTGTTTAGAACAGAAAGATGACGCCCTTAATAATAGCCCTATTATAGACTACCCAATGTTTGAGTTCAAGGTTTGGAGTTCGGCTTGGGCGCTCAAAGTAAATGCTCACTGACTTAGGCCACAAGAGCTATGCCAGTCGCTGGTCTCCATGCAAGCTAGAGAGCACATCCCCGCGGTGCTGCGGAGTTTGGAACGGTGGGGCCAACGACTATCAGATGCTCAGCCTTCGTTTAGGGCTCAGAGTCTCGGGGACATTTTGGGACAGGAACCGTAAGCGCCAATTCCTCGCAATCAGGTTTTCTGTCTGTTGTTCATGCTCAGCTTCCGGAATTTGGCTTGTCTGGTTTATGCCCAAACCCCAAGCATAACGTATGTCCACCTTCGGTAGGATGAACTGCTCGTCGTTCTTGTAGAATCCTGCTGTCTCCCCGGATTTCAGCTGCGATCCGATCCAGGATTCCGTTCCCAGATTACTACCTGGAGAAGGCCCAGGAGAATCTAAAGGCAACGCTTATCGAGTTGGGTATTTCGGCTCAGGGTTAGCATCCGGGCTCATGTAAGGCTAAGGCTTTATCAGGTTCGGGTTTCTGTTTGAATTCAGTTTTGAACTGGCAGGGTTTGTTTGGTGTTGAGGTTTCGCGTGTATGTTGTTAAAGGGTTCAGAACTTTGTAGAGTCGAATGCCCATGGCGAATGTGTTCTCTTTCGCGGACTTGGCTCCAAGGGTTGCAGTAGAACGCTGTGACTAGAGTGACTAGAGCACCTGCAGAGCTCAAACCTTATTTGAACAAATGCTTCTCACAGAAGCCACATGGGCCTGTCATTCTTTCCCCAAGCCATGACATGCGCGACTGTTCTAGCATGCGGCGTTTAGGGTGTCCTCCAAGTCTAAGTTGATAGGGATGCCTGCTCCGGGACGCTAGTAATAGTAAGAAGCCCAAGGTCTTGTTTCGCGTTAAGGCTGGAAATACGAGTTGCTGCACCCACTTGAAACACAATAGCTTATATCGGCCTGCAACTTGACAGCCTGTGTTTTGCAGGCGGGCGCTGACTTTGAAAAAACGTGCCAGGAAGCTCTGAAGAAGGTCTCGTGGGGACAGGCGGGCCCCGAGTCCGGCACCCTGAAGACCGAACTCCAAAATAGTAACATGAGAGTTCAGGGTTGAGGGTGTAAAAATAGTAACACTAGCACATATAAAGCCCTAAAGGGAAGCAATCTAAGGCTTCCCTTCTATGATTCCAGTGTGACTCTCGGTAAGGTTTTGTCTACTTGTTTCGGCTTTTTCATGAGCGTGAAGCACCCCTTGGACTCTGAATCCCGTAGCTCCCATGGGCATGAGACCTTACACTTTTAAGCCTTTAAGCCTTGAGTGCTGCAGCCTTGGAGAACTGGTTGTGTAGGAATGAACAGAAACGGATTGGTCAATTTAGCCCGAAACATAGCTGCGGTGAATAATGGGCAAATATGTCAACAGACAAGTTGCAACATGGTTGAACAGAGTACACAGCGGTCAGGGAAGAACAGATGGCATGTAGCAAAACGCTCAACGCTGGTGAAACCTACAAGTATAGGATACATTACATGTACGAGCAGAATGGGGAGAAGATCTGGCAAGCGTCTGAAACAACAATCGGCAAGCCGGAGGAATGCATAGCTTCCCACATATCACAGAGATTTGGTGGATGACTGACAGGGGTTGCATGGGCCGGAACAGGCTAAACCTAGACAAACCGAAGACTGTGAGCAGAAGTATCATGCGATCATTTCGCCAATCCCTTAAAATCCACACATATGTTCCCCAATTTATAGTAGTTATGTTATAGTAGTTATAATTTCCCCAATCTCAGCGCCCGAGCCGCAGGCCGAAGAGAGCGAACTGGAGGAGAGCACCGACATATCCTCCCGCCGCAGTGGAAAAGGTTGCGTGGCTCTGGATAAAGTACGGTCTGAAATCTTACCCGATTTGCGATTTCAGTCTGCTCTGTTGCAGTACTGCCGGGTGCATCATGTTATGCTACCGCAACGCAGGCCTGTTTGGACCCAACGCAAGCGCGCACGTAATTACGCATGCATGCATGTACTAATGTACTAACATATACTAGCAATGTATTCATCTACAAAGACAACAAGAAAATCATACTTGAACGGATATCAGTACACACGTACATTCTCAGACACGCACATGCACACACACACACACACACACACGCATGCAGACACAGACACCCCCACACATGCGGATGCTTACCGAATGACTGCTGATCATTCATGTCTTGTAGTTGCAATTTCGTTGCGGAGTCATCTCTGCGTGATGCATCGCTGGTCGGGGCCATCACCGAGCCATCACCGTGATGTGACTGAATGTCCCCTAAACCCTTAACCCTAAACCCCTAAACCAAAAGCCGTCTTTCTTAGACCAAAGGCCCGGGTCCACGGTGGGCGTATGGCACCAGCACACAGTTCGGAGCCGGAGAGGCCCGAGCTCACAAAGGAGACTCGAAATAAAACAAAACAGTCAGGGTTTAGGGTTTAGGGTTTAGGGTTTAGGGTTTAGGGTTTAGTAAGTTTTTATTAAGAAGAAGAATAACACTAGTAACTAGTAGATAAGCATGAATCGAAACAATACTAATAATAGTAAGACTTGTTGGTACTAAAGATAGGAAGAGTATAGAGCCTCATAGAGTTCTGAGTACGTAGTGTTCGTGCCCCGTTATAGTGATTGTGTCCCTATAACCAGACAGACCACGTAAAGACCTGGCAAAAAGTTGAAAATTCTTACAGTTCCGATTTACGTATAAACTGCATTATCCACAAACCCTGTTCTACTTCTGAACGCCCCTGTGGTAGGCGTTGCTATTTTTTGGGGGAGGTTCATAGGGTTCCGGGTCCAGGGCGTTAGTTTAGGAGTGTTTGCTGCTTTAGTTGGCTTAGGGTCAACCGTAAACCCCTACTGCATAGATCCTGAGCCCACTGTCAGGTTTCGATAAGGTTTCAGGTTGCCTGTGTGGATCTTTGGGAAACTTTGTGGATTGACTGAGTGGTTTTTACGCAGCTATTCATAGATGCATTTCGGGCGCCGTATGTGCAGCTGCATTCCAGATTAAGGAGTAGTTTGGCATTGAGGGCTCCAGGCATGAGATGCCAGCATGGAGGGGTTTAGGGTGAAGCGGGAAGGGTGGTATTGCGAGGGATAATACGGGGGATGAAAGATAAAGAAGAAGGCATAGGGCCTAGGGCTTAGGGGAAGGCTTTAGCACTTAGTCTTCGAGGTTCGCAAAAAAAAGGCCACCAGGCCGGGTGCCCGGGGCTGTGTGGTTCTGGAACAAGGGGGCAGCAAGGCTCTCTAGCCTTGCAGTCATGAGTCCCACCAATGTCCGATGCCCAAATCCATGAGACAGATCCTTCAGCCGGCAGACAGCTGCAGTACCTAGCAGCAGTAGGTGACTTTGAACCTTTTCGTGGCACGATAATCCCTGTGTAATCCCAATATACTCCCAAACATTAACCTTAGTTCCCCATGATACCGCACAAATAATCTAGGGGCCTTAATAATTAGAATAGGGTTGGGGTACATTATACTATAACTATCATAGGGAACCCAAAACCCAACCCAAAACCCAACCAACCCAACACCCTATCCTAATTATTAAGGCCCCTACTTTAGCAGTATGCCCGGATACCTCAAAACCAAGTAAAGCCTTTTCAGGCCGAGTGGCCCAGCGGCACCGACCCGCTCTGGTACATCGATCGGATCAATTCCCGGAGGGGAGCTTGGCGGGTTTGGGGTTTAGGGGTTTGGGGTTCAGGGGTTCGGGGCTTTAGGGGCTTAGGGGTTTAGTGGTTTGGGGGTTCAGCGGTTTAGGGGTTCAGGGGTTCAGAGGTTCAGGAGTTTTAGGGTTCACGGGTTTGGGGGTTCAGCGGTTTAGGGTTTAGGGGTTCAGGGGCTTAGGGTTTAGTCCTACATCAGACGAATTCGAGGTGCCTCCTCTGTTCTTCCCAGAGTTCCAGCAAAGTTTGACCTCAACAGCCTCAGCCCTAAACCTTAGCTAAGTACTTGACTCATACTATACATAATACAGATATGTGATAGTATGTGCATGTGTATATACATATATATGTGTATATATATATATATGCATACGTATATATATATATATATATGTATATAATGTATATACATATATATGTATACATATGATGGAGTTCAATTCAGCAGGACTGGGCCATGGGCTGGCACGGTTGAGACCTTCGCGGATGGCTCTTCGAAGCCAACGGAAGGTGTGAAAGAACTGGGCTTTAGGATTTCGATGTTTTTAGGGGTTTACTTTAGGCCCATTTCAGGGGTTCTGGGCTCTTGGGCCTTGTGGGTGGCTTTGGAGGGTTTGGTGCTTTTAGGTGTTCAGCCGTTTAGTGCTTTTTTGCGGTTTTTCGGGTTCGATGGTTTTGGGCATTTAGGGTTACTTTGTGGGGTTTTGACCCTTTTCAGTTTACAGGCCTGGGCTTGCAGCTTGACACACAGAGTTTTGTAAAAGCTTATAGAAACCCCAACTAAACTCGGTAAAATGACATAAAGAAGCCTAGAAATCCCCGACCAAGCCCTGTAAAGCCCCCATAAAGCCATCGAGCCTCACGCCATGCTGTTTAGGGCCATGTGGCTCTACGGGCACTTCAAGGCTGTTTGACTTTCCTCTTCGAGGAGTAGGAGGTGAAGGAGAAACGGTGTACGTCGAAGGTTTTGTGCTTTGGGGTTCCGGGCTGTTGGGGCTTCGGGCTTTTGGGGTTAGGGTTTCGGGTTTGAGGTTCAGGATTTACTTAGAATCGAAGGATCCCTCCTCTGTCTAAGAAACATGCTATGATTCGACCCTAAACGGCTGCAAGGAACTGCTTCTTGACCTGCGGGCCTGGGCTCAGAAGCCTGCAGCTTCAAGGCATAAACCTGCCTGGTAGCATCCCCACAAAGAAGTTGCTGCAATTGTGCGTTCTGATTTGCCTGACCGTTCGGCTTGAACTGTAAAGCTCCACGCCCTAAGCTGCAACCCCATAAAGCCTAAACTGTAGCCTCAACACCCGGCAAAGTGGCGAATGTGGGTTTGTGGTTTCTGAATATAAACCCTACTCTATTCCGGTTTATAGGCCCCCTACAGGCCCCATAGCCTTTGCCAAGGTAGCACCGCCATTCGCTCTGCACGCGCCGGTGCGGCGATTCCATGGCCAACGGCTTCTAGCACAACCGATGAGGGGCTTGGGAGTTTAGGAGTTTGGGGCTAGTGAGGGAACGGGAACGACATCTGGCTGAAGCTCGATGGCACGCCGTAGAACTAGAACTAGGACGCCTCTGCAAAGCGCTCTAAATCGTTTAAACCTCCAAACTATGGTATTCTTCAGGCAGAGGGGTCCAAGGGCTACAGACCGGTATAGATAACCTCGTCATCCATAATTCTCCCGAGTACTCGATTCGGTTCCCTTCCGGTTGTCTCAGGATCCCTTGTACCGTCGCCGCTGAAACCGCCCTTCCTTGAGGATCCCATAGCCCAAAGCTTGCAGGTTACACTCCCAAACACTTCGACCCTAGACTTGACTGACTGGTTTCCATAGCCTCTGACCCGATGCCCAATATGTAATAATATAGGGGCCTACATGATTACCACTATTATTGTTAGGGTTCCTTATTATGAATATACTATAAAGGTACCCAAAACCCTATTCCAATTGATTAATTAAGGCCCCTGCAGTATGTATACCCCAAAAAGCCACACCCCAAGAATTACGCGTGCACTAGACCCCATGACGGCAGGTCTCTAAGTTGGGACCCTTTTTAGATGCCGAATAGAGCACGGCACCCTTATAAAAGGGACCCTATAAGCGATCCTAATTTAGAGAACTACCCATGAGGTGATGAACTACCAGATGCTGGGCCCCAAAGGGCGCGGTCGGAAAGAGCCCTGGCTGCAAAGCACCATCGCTTGTTACCATGAGGTTTAGGCTGTAGGGTTTAGGGCTGCCGGCTTTGATTTAAGCGACGGACCTAGATCGGACGATGTGCAGGCGGCTGCATCGAACGGGTTCGCACTCGTGTTCGTGCTTTGCTTCGCTGGAGTTTCGGGGCTTCGAGACTTTCTGAACTGCACTCATCAGCAACAGCAGTAGCTGCATCACATTGCTGTTCACTGCCGCTAGCTGCTGGCACCATAGTTGCTTGTAGCGGTAGCGTTCCTACTATCAGTACACTATCACCATGGCGGCTGTTGAACATCAATAGTCCACACGGCTTCTTGCGACTTTCGTGGATAGCGGCTTTAAGTTACCCTAGAGAGATGTTTAAGCCCTACACTGTATCAGTGTAATGGACGTTTCACAATTTCCAACGGCTCAAGCCTTCAGCAGCCCGACTTATACTGCGATCGCAGCACCCAAGGCTTGGATCAACCAGACAATCATGCAGGCTCAGGCCGGATTTAAAAGCAAGTTGTGGGAATGGAGGGTGGGTAAAAATGCAGTGGCTTTTCATGGCTCCAAATAGGCCCCATAGTAGTTCCTTTTGGGGTTACCTTATAGGATTCTATATATGAACCCCAAAAAGGAACTACCTTAGGGCCTATGGGTCTCTAAAAGAAGTAGGATGTAGGTTGGGCGGGGTACTAGCTGCAATCCCGGGTTCGATCATGAAGTCAGATGTGCTCGAAGGGTCAGCTACCAGATGGCCCACCTCTTTGCCGCCCGGCTAAAACCCAAGAGTTCGGGGTTTAGGGTTTAGGATAAGGCAGGGTCCCTGAAATCTCTGCCCTGCCAGGCGGCGGAGATTTGGGTTTTGCTTCAAATAAAAGTCGTGGCAGGTAGGACAGAAGAGACTAGCGGACCAGCGGCTGTATCAGTCGTCCTCACCGCCGTTGAAAAAGTGAGAGTCATAAATCGTCGCAGCACTGCCAGGGATGCCTTGCAGAACCCTAAACCCCAAACCCTATTTACCACCCTAAACTCCCTAAACCCTATAAACCCCAAACCCCACACCCTATTAAACCCCCCACCCTAAACCCTAAACCCTATAAACCCTGAACCCGTAAGCCCAAAACCCTACTAAACCTCCAGGCTACAACCCAAAACCCTAAACTCCTAAGCCCAAAACCCTATTAGACCCCCCAGGCTACAACCCTAAACCCTAAAACCCTATTAAACCCTAAACCCTAAACCAGGCTACAACCCTAAACCCCCCAAACCCTAAACCCCAGGCTACAACCCTAAACCCCCTAAACCCTAAACCCCAGGCTACAACCCTAAACACTAAACCCCAGGCTACAACCCTAAACCTTAAACCATAAAAAAAAAACGAGGCTACATGGTGCAGCCCAAAACCCTCAGCCCCTCAACCCTAAACCCCTAAACCCTAAACCCTATACCCCTAAACCCTATAACCCCTAAACCCTATACCCCTAAAGCCCAGGCTACATGGTGCAGCCGGTGAAGAAGGGAGCCTTCCCCTTCGCCGAGGACCCGAGCCTTGGACCCCTTTGGGCGATGGCGGAGGGAAGACGTGGGGTCTAGGAAGTGTAGAGCCACGGTTTAGGGTTTAGGGTTTAGGGTTACAGGGTCGTTAGGAAGCTTTTCGGTTTTGGGGATTATAGACAGTTCGTTAGGAAGTTTAGGGTGTTGGGTTGCTTATGGTGTAGGAAGTTTCGGGTTTGGGGCTTGGGGTCTCCTTGTCAACAAGTTTTGGGTTGTTCGATTCTTGTGGGATGCAGGGGTAATGTAGACCCCAGCAAACACCGTTCCCTGAAACAAAGTAGTCACTTTGGTTGGGAGCCCAACTTCGACTTCGGGGCGCCGGTATGTCCCAAGCACGATCGGAAGCATCATGATTACATCTACTATTTTTTTGGGGGGTTCCTTACTATAAGTATAGTCTAATCTACCCCAAAACCCTATTCTAATTCTTAAAGGCCCCCAGATCATAGAACCCTTATAGTAACCCTTATAGAGCCCTTTTGCAGGAACCCTACCCCAAAACCCTATTCCAATTATTAAAGGGCCCACTACATTAAATCCTTGTAGTACCCCTTATAGTAACGGAACCCTTAAAGGAGCCCTATTCTAATTATGAAAGGCCCCCTACATCATCTCGCCTCGCACCCCCGAGAGCGTGCCGACGCACTCGAAGCCTGGACTTCCTTCCTGTGGCCAAGCCCGAAGGTAAACCCAAATAGTTTCAATATTGGTTACAAATGGGATAGTTATAGTAGCTTATAATAAGAAGGTAAACCCAAATAGTTTCAATATTGGTTACAAACGGGATAGTTATAGTAGCTTATAAGAAGTATGATGATTACAGCAAGCAGAATGCTTTAACAAATCCCAGGAGCTAGATCCTACACAGCCGCAGCTTGACGCAGGATGGCACACCTGTGGACTACAACAGCGAGGACAGAACTCGGAATTCAAGTTCTGAATGCACGAGGGCGCAATACTTGATATACGGCATCTTGGGTTTTTGAGAGGTGCGGAAACGCGAACTGAGGGCGCAACTGTAGAATAGATCCGCCCTGAAGCAGCCAACGTAGTTAAGAAAGGACAGAGCGGTACTGCAAAGCCAGCTTGGGGCATTTTGTCTAAGGGAGCTCAGCAGTGCAAAAAAGTACGCCTTGCATCCTTACGGTTTGATTCCCGGGAGCGAGATGCTTGCTCTCACTGGGGTCCAACAGCGTGCTTCCGACGGTCACCCAATCCTTGCAGGTCTTAGCAGGTTTGTAGGGGCCCCTTCATCGGGGTGGAAGTGGCACATTTGGTGGTGTTCCAAGCTAGTTAGTCATGACCGTCGGGATTTTGGAACTGCAGGGCGTTTTGTGCAAAAAGTTAGGATAGCGGGGATTTAGGCATGGCTTCCACAGGATGTGCTCGCCAAGTCGAAAACTGGCAAGAACTACGTCGCTTGGCCCCTTGTGCAGGCACGTCCCCTTTCCCTTTGGGCTCGTTAGCGGCGGTTGTGGAACACTCCCGAGCAGCACTGGCTTTGCCGTCTGCTAAAGGCGCAACGTGTGCTTAGAAGTCGGGGTATGCGGAATGCAACTGCTTTAGCCCCGAGATGTACTTTTTTGATTACAACCCTACCTCTAACTGCCCTGAAACCTCGTAGACTTTTGAACGCCGAGACGGGAAGGGCACCTAGGACTTTGGGATTGAGGGCAGCCAAAACCAATATTGCAATAATGACAAGGATCAGTAGGATTTCTATTGTGACTATCATTGTCATGATTAGTATTGTCAGTCGTCTGACTGTTGTTGCCGTTTTATTGGTATTACTGTCATCGCTATTAGTATGTTGATTACGTTTGCGATGCTTAGTATTATTACCTGTATCATTATCATTTTACTTTTCATTTCCGTTATAACAAAAATAAAATAATAATGCTAACAACAAGCATCGCAAAAGTCATGGGAGTAGTATCATCAAGAGAAGCTTCCGGGCTGCGGCCTTGCAGGGTTTTTTCCTCTCCGAAGCTGCACTCAAGGTTTACCTCGTGGCCCCTTACGAGGGCTGTGGTGGAGACGGCCAAGCCAGTAACGGGGTCGGGGCCTTGGGAGTCTTACTTGGAGGGTCGACAGACTTAGTAAGTAGCTATTTTATAGACTTATATGGGGCACTTATAAGTCTACTTACTACCTACTTACCAAGTCCCCCGACCATCCAGGTAGGGCTTTGGGGGGGGTAAAGGGGATTAGGAAAGTAGGCTTTAGGGAAAGGTTCGGAATCCGTGGATGAGAGCATTTTTCCATGGTTCTTCGAGTTGTTTAGAACATCTTCCCATTCCTGAGCCAAAAGCCTTCTGAGAAGAAGGGCCTTCAAACGCCAGTGGCTGCCCTTGGCCTGCAAATCTTGGGACCCATACACATCGTGAGAATTTTGAATTTGGTTCCACAGGGACGCTTGGGCTTTCAACCCGAAAGGTGGAAAAGAGCAGAAGGTAACATAAGACCTGGATAGCAGTAGGCACAGAGGTCAATGTGGCAGCGGGAATACCATCAACTCTATCCTCCAGTGGTAACGTTGATAGAAATGGAGCTGTAACGACAGTCGCACCGGCAAATAGGATAACGTCCTGGCAGCAGAATCTTGACACTAGTATCAGTACCCATGCCCCGAGACCCGGCGCCACGCTAATAGCGGTGTAGGGTTCAGAGCTTCAGGGTTTGCAAGGCCCAGGGGGCAAAGCCTGGTGCAGGTCTGTTCACCCCCTGATTCGGGAATACTTTGGCTTATGTCAAGGCACTACTTCGTTTTCGGATTTATTCCCCCTTCTGATCGGGTTCTGTAGGGGCTTCATTAGAGTGGCACTGTATGCGCGGACCACAATCAGGAACCCAGGTGTAGAACACCCACTGCGCAGGCAATCGGAACTCGATAATCCTTAGCAGCCTGGGCCGTCAGTTTCGACTCTGTCAATCCCTCATGCCGCTACTTTTGGTGCTTTCTATCTGGAACAGCCTCCCGTTGGCTGGTGCCTCCATCGAGAAGCTGCAGTATTCAATTGAGAAGATCTGTTTGATGCGTTGGGGCGACTAGGGCTACGTACGTGTTTGCAGATGCTGAGTATTCCTTACCCCGAATCCCCCACCCGGTTGAATCTTCGGTTCCCCAAGGGATCGGGCTCGCTGGTGTAGAACAGTGTTAGCGAAATCACCGATAGTGTACATGTCGTTAATCAGTCACAATCTAACAGTGCAGAAACTGATAACAGCAAAAGCTCCCTAGCAATCACAATACAAATACGATGGCAGTACGCACTACGGCCATCGGAATCAAATTGTTTATTTAGGCTGGTATCATCACATATCGGCGGAGCCGGCAGAACTACGAAAGTGTAGGCCGTAGACCTTAAACCACTTGTTCTATCTCTGCGGCCTCGAGAGAGTGCACTCCGGCTCCGTATGCCGAAGCTCAAGAGGGGGCTCCGTCTAGTGGTGCTTCCTTTTCTGAGAGCAGCGTACTGGAAAGTTGCAAGACAATTACGTCTAGCAACAAGAAGACTAGATCATAATTAAGCCCTTGCTTTTCAAGGTCGGAATCCAGGATGTGTTCAACTCGTGCCCCAGCGTTCAAAGCGTGATCAACGCCTTGGGCAAGAGTGACGTGGGAGCCCCAGGGTGTCCGGCGGATAGGATGGCGCTTACGGGCTTCAAAGGCCATGTAAGTGTGGTAGGTAGGATTCCCGGTAGAATCGCGTAGGCTTTTGGAGGATCTTGTTGGGGCTGGAGCTCTGCATTTTCAGGGAGGGTTTGATTTCGGGAATTAGGGCTCTAGGATTTCAGTGCTTGAGATAGAGAAGTAGATCTCCGGGCATCTTCGGGGTTCAGGGCTCAAGGTGTGCTTCAAGCTTTTTCTGTATCAGCGCCATGAGCGCTCGTTTTGGAGGTACCTGCTCGTTTCAGGAGGTAGCAAGAAATCCCTTGGAACCGACTGCCACGTAAACCCAAGCCCCCGGGGCCCCGCGCCCTCGAACCTTAGCGCCCTCGTGCGCCTTTCCTCCCGTCAAGCCCAAACCCTAAAGCCCTAAAGCCGAACCGAAACCGCTAATTTCACATCTCCACCGGACTCCCTGCACTGTACCCGGGTGTCCCTACCAAGGCCGTGTGGTACTCAGAGATGGCCAAGCACTGCGGCAAAGACATGGAGGTCAGACTTGACGGGGCCTTTTGGGTTCATTTCGCTTGGGGTCTTGCGAGGCTTTGTGGCTTGGGGAATTTAGGGTTCAGGGGCATAGGGGCAGGGGCATAGATAGAGCTTTTGGGCTTTAAGAGTTGAGCTTTGGCTGTCGTGGCATCGAAAGACTTTGGGTGGCCGTACACCTCCAAAAGCTTGCTTCATCTTGCCAATGAATGGCCAGTGGAAGCTAACCCTTAGACACCGATCCCCCCATACTAAACCCGGAGGCCTAAGATCCTCTTGAATCTATTTGAGCAGGATGACTCGGCCAAGTCGTGTGTAAGAGCATGTGCTGGCAAGCATCGTCGTAGTTGTAGAATCAGACAGGTTGGCATTCGAGCAATTGCAGACCAGAGAATAGATTATTCGTACTAATAGTACTGCTATTTTTGTTATCAATATAATCATCAATACTACTATTTACTAGTATGCTTGGTACTTAGTACTAACTACGTACGAGTTGTCTTTTGTTTGCACGGCGCTAGTGAGCCCAAGTTTCCAACTTCAGGCTTCTCGGAGCTGCAGCTTCACGGGGCTACGAAGTATTGTGTGTGCGTGTGGTTGCCATAAGGGGTTTCTCAGGGTTTAGGGTTTAGGGTTTAGGGAGTTCAGGGTTTTTGGGGGTACCTTAGGATTCAGATGCTGCGAGGGTTAGCTGCGAAGATCTAAACCCTAAGCCCATAGTTTGAAGCTGAAGGGGGTTCCCGCTTCGAGTTTGCTGAGGCACGGGCTTGGGAAAGTGGCTTCAGGCCGTCTGCAGGGTTTAGACGTTCAGGGTTTTCGGGCGTCTACTACAGCATTCTCCTGATTCAAATTCCCTTCGTACCATGTCCTTAGTATGTTCTCTCTCTCTCTCTCGCTCCGTCCAGCTCCTTCTCGTCATGACTGTTGGTAGTAAACTCTAGGAACTCCAAAATGACCCCCAATCATCACCCAGTCCTGAAAGCCCATGGTTCCACCAGAATGTCATGGCCACGCCGCTATAGCAGTCTGAAGAACTAGCAAGAGTACTCCCCTTCTCAGTCCCTTCAGAGTATACCCCAGGGCCCTATTCTGATGATTAAGGCCCGTATATACAGAACCGTATCTAAACTCCCTTACAGAAGCCCCCGATGCTTACAGGCTCTGTGTGCAGCGGCTTGCTCCCTTTGGAATGGAACCGGCCGCCTGAAAGCGACACGTTTTTAGGAAAGAGGATTTGGTTTCAGGACTTGTTGGATCGCTTGCCAGCATCCATAGGTACTTCTGCTGTAGTATATGCCCCACAACTGGCCTCACAAGCCTCTACTGATTCGGAGATTTCAATTCCGGTTTCCAGATGCGTGCCTCAAAACCCTAAACCCTAAACCCTACTGTAAACCCTAAATCAAAACCCGAAACCAGGGTTCGAGGATTAGGATTGCTTATTGTTTCGTGTCCTTAGGTGGCGAGACAGGAAGGCTCAGGTTTGGTAATCCGGGATGAGAGTTTTCTATGGGTTCAGGGCTCAGAAGGGGCGTTTTCGGGTTTAGGACAAAGTTTAGGATTTAGGCTTTAGGGGTCAGCGGTTAGGGATTAGGGATTTAGGCTTTAGGGGCTAGGGGCTTGGGGATGAGAGTTCAAGTCTGCAGCGGGCCGGCCCTTTGGTGTGCGCATCGGTGGACTGGAGCTGTTGGGGCCTGAACTATTGGAATGTGGGTTTCCGGCTTACGTTCGTGGTAAAGCAACTCTAAGAGGAAACTCTACAAGTAAGTTTCGGTTTGAGTGAGTATCCTTCCGCTGTTACCCCAAATTTGAAGATCAGCTCGATCGTTCACAGAAGCATAGCTAGGGCGCTCCCGCACTCGGAACATTCCGCCCAGAAGACTCTGAGCTCCAGGGAGCGAAGGTAGAGTCTAGGATCGTCAGATCGGAGTGGTAGAATCTGAAAGCCTAACTCCAGGCCCTAAAACCTAGCCCCTGTAATCATATCCTAACTCCTAAATCCAATCTAAATCCCAAGTCCTCAACCCATACCTAAATCCCGAAGCCAGAGAAGCTTAAGGACGGTAAGTCGAAGGACCTGCCCTACCACATGCGCCCACAATCCAGAACCCCGGCACCGAGTTTAGAGGTCGGAATAGGGCGTAGAGGATGGCCTCTAGGCTTTAGGGTCTCGGATTTCGGGTTTGTACCTATAACAGTATAGCTCACTGCCTTGCTCCAATTAACTACAACAACAATTAAGTTCAAGTTCCAAACCCCACATCCCAAGCAATCCGAGCAGTCCAGGCTTCACAATCCTTGAGCCACACTCTGCAGAGCGATCGGAGGTGTCGCTTCAGTGTTCAGGGCCGGCGTGGGTCTTGGGGGTTTGGGAGTTGCGGGTTTGGGATTCCTACCCCCCTTTCTTAAACCCTAGTTACTATCCTAAATCCTAAACCCTGAACCCTACCCTTAAAGCCCCTTCCCTGCAGGCCTCCGGCTACGACTTTGTCAAGGATGGCTCCTGCGCGCTCGGCGTCTCCCTTGCCTCGGACTACGGCCGAAATTCGGTGAAGGACATGGCCTTTAGGGGGGTTAGGGTTTCAGGCTTAGGGTTTCAGGGTTTACTAGCTTCAGCTACGAAGAAGCAGAGGAAAAAAAGTGCACCCTTGAAAGGTGCCTTTTGGTTGCTACGACTCGATGTACGTGGTTCGGATGAATGATAATCTGGTAATCTTCTTCGGGTCAGAGTCACTGCCACTGCTGAGCATCATCTTGTTTGAGATATTGGTTCGGCAGCCGACACAGGCCACCAACGACTGGGTGAAAGACACGTGGGACGTCGATCTGAGCAACTACACGTCCTGCTACGGGCGTGACGGAAGCGGTCATGACGCTAGGCTGCTGTAGGGCGCGTTCGGGGTCTTCGGCTTCGAAACCTATCTTTTCAACGGCGGGGCTGGGGCGTAGCTTAAGGTCTCAGGGCCTCGAGTTTTGGTGCTTTAGGGCTGACGGTTTAGGATCAAGCGAAGACTGCGTCCGCTGGCGACATGGCTGAGTGGAGAGGAGAGAAGACATTCCAGGAAGCTGAGACATCGCACAACGACGTCCCTCCATTTGCTAGATCCCAGTTCGTAACTGACGCACAAGACTAGCTACCCGAATCATCCCTAATCACGACCCCGAAGCGCTAAAATCTCTTTGCCTTCAGGTGAACTACTGCTCTGGTAGCAACGGTCACTTCGACTTCGCCGTGGATCCGTCAGAAGGAGGCCTTGCATCGCATTTGGCTTCTCATTGCTGCTGGGCATGGGTTGCACTCCGGGCGTTGCTGATGGTATATCTGTCTGAATATTGGCATTGTTGTCAGCTTCTGAGCTTTGGGATTCTGGCTCGTACTACATCCAACATCATGACCGTTATACCGCAGTACTATATGAGGCTTTGGGCTTTTGCTGGAGTCTAGGGGTTAAGCTTATCGGCTCAAGGGTCGCCCGACCGCAAAGCAGAAATACCAATGCAACCCTTAGGTTTTACAAAGAGGAGGGGCCCATGCACATGGCAGATGAAGGCCCCCAGAATGGCGATATGGGGGTTTCCGAAAATAGGGGACCCTAATATAGTACCCTAAATAGTAGGATCCTTATTATAAGGACCCCCAAATAAGGTACCCTAATTTTCGGAAACTCCCATATAAACGTTCCCCACCGAAACCCGCATCAACTGACCTTGGCTGTGGCAATGCCGGGGCTTGCGGGTACTGCAACCATGGAAATTAAACGGGACTTAGGTGTGTCTTTATCCTTGTTGCTTTGTTGGTAAAGGCCTTGCCAACACAGTTGTATACATTCCTTCTACCACCAGATAGCCTTGCCATCCAAAATCCCGAAGCTATAAACCCTGAAACCTCGACAACAGCGATCAGAAAGGTTTAGGGTTTAACAAGTGTGTATCCTGCGCAGTTGAAGCCACCTTAGCCCAAGTTGGCAGATGCTCCTGGCATGTAGCAACTAATGTTGCCACCGCAATGCTTTATGTACCTGTAAACCTAAAGCTATACCCAAAGCCCCGGACGCAAAGTCCTTGTCAACGTGCCCTACTCTGTACTGTCACGAGGGGCTTGGAACTTAACAGAGCGCTGCAGGTTTTTGTAGGCTAGGTTCAGGACGCTTGTAACCAGGTAGTGCATACGAGGAAGTGGCGTCGTTTACGACGACGACGCGCCCGTACGTCCAGGACGAGGACTTATATCTGACGACGACGACATCTGCTCCCTGAGCGGTTGTGCGGTCTGTTCGCAAATAAAGACAAGACAGACGAGATGTTTGATGAATGCAGCTGTTGGAAATATACCACACATGTAAACGGATAGACAGGTAGATAAATAAGTGCGTAATTATACATTCTATATACTGTTAATGGCACGACAGTTCCAAGCTTTGCGAGGCCCTTTTCTTCGGTCTTTCCGTATGCATTAGCACGCCAAAGACCTCTTCAGTCATCTTCAAGCTTCAAGCATTGCAGCAGCTGGGTAGTTGAGCTCTTGTGTTCATACAAAGGCTAAGCTAAAGGGCCTACGTGATGCCTAGGAACAGCGTCGTAATGAGCCTAACCAGTACATACCAAGCGAAGACATCATCAAAACGGCATACGCAAAACACGAGAACAAGCCTGTCGACTGCAGCACGGGCGCGTGGCCTCAGTTTGAAGTTAAACGTGGCACGGAGTTTTGGCAGCCGGGCTGACGCCGCTTTGTGCCCACATACTGGCAGACAACGTACGATGTCACAAAGGTTTGATTTAAATGGGTGGTCAACGGCATGTCGGACATTTATACAGGTCGATCCCGACAAGCCTCGATGACCATTGTTGTAGTTTGTGTTTGGAGTTGACGGAGACTTGCTTCATGCATTGTTTTCACCTTGTTGTGCATCCCTTGTTTACCTCGTTCTGTGTTGAACCTCTGCGGTGCAACTTCGCCACTGCCATCAAGGCCTTTGTGCACGTACGTCAAAGAAACCATAGTTACGGTGATATTTAGTGAAAACGCGCATGGCATGGCTAACGGTCTTGTGTTCAGGTCGGCGTCGTCTGGTGCGGGTCGACTTTCCCCAGTTCTTAGAGTTCAGGGTTTCCGGACGGTTGGCAATGCGTGGATTGCATTGCTTGGGTTTTGAAATGAAGACGTTGAACCACAATGTTGAGTTGATGCTGGTCGTGATCTTCAATTTACGGGCTGCAGAAATCTGGGTGCTACGGTGTTGCAGGAGGTAGTCACCCTCTCCACTGCACTCCTCACCTTGAGACACTTGAACCAGCCAATGAATGTAAAACAAACACGGGGCCAGAATTAATGACGGTTGTTCTCACCAGCATGAGCCGCATCATTGTCAAAGATACCGGCACCTCCACAGAATCCAAAGCAATGAAGCACAAACCGAAAACCAAATGGACAATTTGGGAAGTTCGCTTTGTGGTGTGGATTGCCAGGGTCATTGTTGTCGTTGGTACAAAGCCATGTTGGTTTGACATTCGAGTCAAAACAAACTAATCCCCAAATTAGCTAGCTGCCGTCGGACATGCAATCAAGGCGTCGAGAAAGCATGCGCAAGAGCTTTGTCGGCAGTATTGCGTCTTTAGCACCAGCTCTCTCAGTGCCTGACATTCACTCCTTTCAAGATCCGAACCCGAACGCCGGATAATCCGCCAAAGTGCCAAGCCGGTTCACTCCAAGGCCCCACACCCCAAGAAAGCGCACGCCGCGCTCGGAGGCTTCGGGATGCCCTGGAAGACCGACTACGACGCATCAGAGCTTCAAGCTCTTCGGCCGGAGTCTTTTTGGAGTGTGTGGCATAGGTTCGGGTTTAGGGATTAGGAGAAGAGTGGTCCCCAGGACACCATCGGCTTCGAATTCCTCACCCTGGGCCGGAAGCCCTGCACCTAAAACAGTTTTTCTCTTCATGCCTAAATCAAAGTCAAGCACGGCAACAGCAGTAAGAACACTGCAAAAGTCAACAGGCGTAATCAGAATGGAACCAATCGCAATGGTAGCAGCTTTGTATTGTGCTGCTAGAAGAAGTTAGCCGTAGCGGTAGCCTAGCGGTCGGTGGAGGCGAATGGTGGCAGCAGAAGTCGTCGTCGCGTTGCGTCGTCGTCGTCGTCGTCGTCGTCGTAGTAGTAGTAGTAGTAGTAGTGGTAGTAGTGGTAGTAGTAGTAGTAGTAGTAGTAGTAGTAGTAGTAGTAAAGACCCGTATCAGGAGGAACATCAGCAGCAGCACTAGTAGCAGTAGTAGCCGTCGTCGTAGTAGTATCAAATAGTAGTTGTCGTAGTCGCAGTGGTGGTAGTGGTAGCAGCGGCAGCAGCAGGGGCAGTAACAGCGCCAGCAGCACTACCAGTAGCAGTAGCGGTAGCAGCAGCAGCAGCAGCAGCAGCAGTCGTAACAAGTACAGTTCTTCGTGGTGGTGGTGGTGGTGGTGGTGGTGGTGGTGGTGGTGGTGGTGGTGGTGGTAGTAGCACTAGCAGCACTAGCAATGGGAGCAGGAGGAGGAGTAGGAGCAGGAGCGCCGGTAGCTGTAGTAACTTTCTACAAGTCGGAGCCTTCAGAAGCAAACACTACGAATGAATCTGCCGAACCCGGCCGTGGAACCCTGAGCCAAGGCGATGTTCGGCGACGACGGAGATCAGAACATCCTCCTTCGGTACTTCGGCGAATTGAATCCCGATTCGGGAGCATTACGACTTAGTGCATGATGTTTTTGCAGAAGTCCCAGTACTGTTTCGTGAGGAGTGCTGTCGTCGTTCGTCTTGTTGAGCTCCGCGGCCGACCAACCAGCATGATGACAGCCTCTCCAGGACTCCAGGCTGAGGTTTGTAAGGCAGCCGTGCAGTTCAGGATGTTGCGGTTTTTCATCTTGCACATGAGAGCGATATGATCGATGTGCGGATTCTCTAAACCAGGATCCCTCCGAGGTCCTTCTAGTAAGAGTGACGTATCATGGTGGCAAGGACCACTAGCAAAAAAGAAGCAACAGGTGGATACCAGCCCGTTGCGATGCGTGGGGACCGCAGCTTGACAAGCACGTCCGACCTCCATCATATCAGGTCAAGGATCTGTCGTGCCAAAGTTGCAAGCCCAAGCAAAAGTCTGCTTAGAACTCGGAACTTGGGTATGTGTGTCTTGGGCATGATAGTTCCGGGCGTCGCGTATTTGGTTGGGTAACTAGCTGCTATGTAAGCACAGCCTTCAGCGTTGGTGCATAGATCCTACTCCCAGCCATGCATGAGGCCCATCCGAAGCCCCCGAAAGCCCGCACTCCAAACCGAAGGCCCGGTAAGATCCAGCATCCCTTGCGATATCCCAGAGGAGCGAGCCTCGAGCTGGGAGCTTTCTTCTCCGGATACTCAAAAGAAGTAAAGTTCTGTGTCCCTAAACTACTGAACCTTAAACCCCAAACCCTGAACGTTTCTCATCAAGGTGGACGCCGTACAAGCAAGAGTGTTCGGCCTCCTTCTGCGACTTCTGTACTTTCGGGAACTCACAAAGCTGCGATCGCTGCGCCACTTAGCCTATATTGGGGGGGGGGGGGGGGGGGG